ATTGCAAATTTATCTATGTATAATACAAAGGTAGCAGGGCACGGTAGATAATAGCTTATAATCACTAGCATTTATATAGTGCTTTAAAAGATTTGCAAAGTGGGGCAGCTAGGTGGCACAGTGGATAGAGCACTGGCCCTGAATCAGAAGGACCTGAGTTCAAATCCAGCCTCAGACCAAACACCTGACACTTACTAGCTGTGCAACCCTGGGTAAGTCACTTAACCTCAATTGCCTTAAGTGCTTTACATATGTTTATCTCACTGGCTCCTCACAACAACTCAGGGAAGTAGGTACTATTTATTACCCCAACTTACAGATAAGGAAACTAAGGCTGAGAGAAGTTAAGTGATCTGCCCAAGGTCACACAGCTATTGAGTGTCAGAGGCAGGATTTGAACTCGTGACTTCTTCATTCCAACTCTAGTTCTCTATCCACTGTGCTACCTAGCTGCCAACCTAGAGAGAGGGACAGCCTTTAAGTAAAAAAGTTCAAGGCCTACCTCTAATATTGATCCCACCCCCAAAGTCCTTATTCAGGGGAGTAACCCTTGTGGAGAAGGGGCCTGCCATCCCCACCTCCACCAGGCCCCAGGCCCTGGCCCTGCAGTCATCCTCCAAGGAAGCAAACCTGGGGAGCAATGGGGCCTGGCAATAGCTCCTGCAGGGGCTGCAGCCTAGACTTTTGAGTAGCCACAGCTTCCAAGGACCAGAAAAGAGAGTCTTCACTGCCAAAGTCCTCGGCACTGTTCAGTGATGCAGCTTCAGGAACCCTTACAGTTTTATTCATGACTATTAATTACTACATGCTACAACACTAAGTACTGTGGGATTTCTCCATCTGACTTGCCACTGAAACCTCCCCCATGGCTTGTCTCTCCTTACTGGAATGTGAGGTTCCTTGAGGTGGGCCGGCAGGCTCCTCCAGTATCCCTGAGGTCTGTTTTAGTGCTCAGCATAGTGTCTGACAGTAAGCACTAAATAAATGCTTTTCTATTCCATCATTCCCGCCTTCCTTCATGCTAACTAAATGACCATGATCACGGCACTTGGAGGGCTGGCTAGGGCTTTTAAGAGTTTAAAAAGATAAGTAACAGACAAATTTTCAACATGCATCGATGCCAGGAATCTCTCATGCTGATGAAATCACCGATCTGGACACACACCCACTGTTGATAAACTGACCAACATAAGGCCAACATCAATACCTCCAATGTCTAGCAGAATGCTAGTCACCTTTTTGGGGGGGGGGGGGCCACAGAAAAGGAAGGGGAAATGATTATTGAATTTATTTATTCATATATCTCTATATACCCCGCCCATCACCTAGCACAACACTCAGCCCAATAAATATCCATTGCCCAAAATTAATGGTGGCTGTGACCTCTGGGTTTCAAATGATTCTATAAAAACAACAACAAAGGGGCAGTTAGGTGGCGACACATAACACTCACTAGCTGTGTGACTCTGGGCAAGTCCCTTAACCCCAACTGCCTTACCGAAAAAAAAAACCCAACAACAACAAACACCCACTGACTTCATCCTGCTCCACTGGATTATAAGGAAGACTATTAAAGGCCAGAAAATCCCAAGAGGACAACAGGGTCCAATTTCTGGGTACCAATGATCTCAAATGTAACCAGACTTAAGACAGCTGCTCTTCCTATTCTGAGCTCAGACAAAGAAAATGAGAGTAATAGCGATGAGGAGGAAAGTGAATATCACGCAAAGGGCAATGGAAAGGAGCACAGTAAACATGAGCAAGTGGCAACATGTGGTAAACAGGGAATAAGAAAGAAGAACCAGAGGAAAAGATGACATCACAGAAATATCTCAGTGAAAAAGAAGACAGGCTGGACCTAGGTGATCCTGAGGGATGACTGACTGATGGTGGGCCAGCAGGCTCCTCCAGGATCCTCCAGATGTCAAGAAAATGGACCCTGGCATTCACTGGCTGGACCCACAATCAGACTCCAGGGCTGCCCAGGATAGGCAGGCAGAGATGAACCAAAATCTGAGTATCGCTGGAAGGAACTTGCCCATCAATGAAAAACGAGCTTCCTCGGCATTGTTGCTGCTAATAAAATTTATGATCACGACGCATTTCAAGCTTTCCCCAAATGCTTTCTTATTTATCATATCAATTCATTAGATCTAAGACCTCATCTCATTTCTAACAGGGTTACTAGATCAAGGGAGTGCTAGAGAAATCATTCACCTGTACGTGAGCAAAGCATTTAATAAACCAAGGCTGTCCTGCTTGTCTTTTCAGAAGTCTGACTTTCTTCCAAACTCGGCAGAAATGCTGCCTTCTCTAAGACATTCTTCCTAACTATCCCTCCTCCTCCCCCCAGTGGCTAGCACCCTTGCCCTCCCACGTGCTTGTTTTAACTTGTTCGGTGCCTACTCACATCAGTGGTTCTCATGTGCCACAAAACTCCTCCACACACAGCAAGATGGCCCACAGCAAGGCCCCTAAGCCCTGCTGCCAGCAGCAGTTTGCTGCCTGCTCTTTAACAGGGAGGTCACAACAACAGTTCTGTGTGCAGAGGGACAAAGCCATCTTCTCTGCTAGGGGTCCTGGGGCCCCGAGTCAGGACAGGAGAGGAGGTGACCTGGGGGGAAGGAAGGAGAGTCAGAGAAATCCCAAGACTAGAGAATGAGACTAGAGACCCGACTGCCCAGGAACTCTACTTTACTGCCATAATAATGTTATTAAAGTTATTGAACTAAAAACTAAACTAAAACTGAGATAGTGCTTGGATCGTCATGACAAGCCTGAGATAGAGGGGCTATTGTTACCCCATTTTGCAGCTGAGGAAAGTAAGGTTAGTGGTGAAGAGGTAAAGTGACCAGGCCAATGTCTAAGTCAGGAATCAGACTTGGGTTTTTCTCATTCCAAATCCAATGCTCGATCCACTACACGGCCTGGCTACCCACCTTAATGTTTGTTGTGTTTCAATGTCTCACAGCAAAGGATATAACATCATAAGCAAAAAGTGAAAAAAAAAAAACAAAAAGGATGAGGATCAGTGTGATACACATCGTCCCCCTGATTAGAAAGAAAACTGTCTGAGAGCAGGGGTCATTTCTCTTGTCTCCAGGTCCCCAGGTAGTAGCACAGGATCTCACATACAGCAGACACACCCTCACTAAACGCGTTTGAGTGAAAGATGGTGAGGACTAGTCCAGAGAACAATGACGGAGAGCACATTAAGGTTTGCTAAGCATGTTTGCTCACTGGGTGAACATGAGACAGATTCAGAATTAGCTGAATGGAGCGATCCATAGGATAGGACTAATGATTCAAGGTCAGCATGGCACACATTCTCAGTAAGGGTCCCAGGAATGCTTTCTTGACACTTTTACTACGTACTTAGATAAAGGCACAGGTGGAATGCTTATCAGATGTGCAGAAAGCATCAGGCTGGAAGGGAGAGCTAAGCTGACCTGGGAAACACGGTCAGGATCCAAAATGACCCTGAAAGGCTAAAAGACTCAACTGAATCTGATAAGACTACATTTATCTCTACTAAATTTCAAATCTTACTAGGGTTCAAAAAATCAACTTCTTCTTAAGTGCTACACTAGAGAAGCGTGGTTAGAGAACAGTTTGTCTGAATATGACTTGTGCTTCTCAGTGAACTGCACACCAAATAAGAATCCAGAGTGGCGGTAGAGTCCAAAAAACGAATGAAATCTGAGGCTGCACGTGGAAAGGATTGCATTCAGCTCTAGGGACAATGATCATCTAGAAGGCATCCAGAAGAGGGCCACAGGATGGGGAAGCATCTGGAAACATCTGGAGTTCATGCCATAAAGGAGCAAATGAAGGAATTGGGGCACTGTGGCCTAAAGACACAGCGAGTTCTCAGATATGTCAAGAAGACAGATCAGAGTTGGTCTGCCTGTCCCCAGAAGGCAGCCCTAGGAGTAAAGAGGGAAGCTTCAAAAAGGAAAATCTAAACTTGATGTCAGGAATTCCTAATGACGAGGGAAAGAGCTGGGCTAGCATGGAAGGCAATGGCTTCCCCTTCACCGCAGGCCTTCGAGGAAAGGCTGGATAACCAGCCAGGATCCTAGGCCTTGGTTGGGGATATTCCAGAAGGGGTCACTTTTCAAATGTGGGTTTGATTCGGTGGGGTCCCTGGTTCCTTCCAACTCTGACATCCAGTGACTTTGTGATACATTCTTTCTTCCACAGGAAAGGGCAGGAGGTATCAGGTTAGGGTAACAGGGAAGAGAGGTAATAGCAATTGTACCTCATTGGCTATAAGGCAAGACTCCTCTGAAGGGTCCAACTAATAATCACAAAAAGAACAGCTAGGATTTACGTAGCACTTTAAGGCTTATAAAGTGCTCAACACATCTTCCATTTGATCTTCATAATAACCTTGTGAGATAGGGACTATTATTGGCCTTACTTTACAGATAGGGAAAGTGAGACCGATCGAAGTGAAATAACTTGCTCAGGGTCACAAAGCTAGTGTCTGAGGAAAGATTTGAACTCAGGTCTTTCTGACTGCAAGCCACAAGAGCTCTATCTACTGGGTCACCTAGGTACCTCATTAAGCCTCTTCCTTCAGAGGCTTCTGTATACTAACGAAGACAATCTAATGGGGCTGTAATTCTACTTTCAATTTTACTCAAGAAATTCAATTAAAGCTTCTCATAAGGTAACTAAGCAAATTAAGAAATTCTATAAGGAATAAAGTCTCAGGAAAGACAATTTGTCTAGTAATGGGACTCTGCTGATGTGGTGAAGTAACAGGAAGCCCAAGAGCATTAAAAATAATTAATTATCAAGAGAACAATGAAACTAGAGCCTGCATGGTGAGTAAGTGCAAACCTCAGAGGGGTAGGAGGAAGCAAGATGACAAAGCAAGTTCAAAGGCCAAAGGATTCTTTCAGGCTTTCCATCTGAAATCAATTGCAGGAATCGTCAGAAAGTGCTCATATTCTTCTCCCTGATCCCAGGAAAAAGAGAAGGTGATGACTGACCTCAGGATGTTTGGGTGAGAGAGTCTGTTCATGAGCTGGACTTCCTTCAGCATGTTTGCCCGGTTACTGCTTAAAATGTTCATCTTCAGAGCCATCACCTGGTCAGACACTCTGTGGCGCACCTACAGGTCAGTTAAGCAAGAAGATAAAAGGTGAAATCAAAGGTCACAGCTAATTCCAATCTAGATTTTTTTTAAATGACAGGAAGTTTTTTTTATTAGAAATGCTAACAAAAATTCAAAACTTAGTATAAATGCTGAGAAAAATCCAAACACATTATTTTTTATTCTAAAAACATTCTAATTTTTTGTTGAAATACCAGGAAAATATTGTTATAGTGTAAAGAGATTAGATCTTTTCTATACTCTAGTGTTGAGCAAAACCCAAAGTCCCTCTTGCAAGCCAACTCAGACCTGACCTCATACTGCCTTGAGCCAATGCTAGCAAGAAGTCCACCCAGAGAGGCCCTGGGACAACAGTGACCTGGAGTTGGAAGGCTGGGCTCAAGTTCCAGCCTCAGCCCTTAGTGGCTGGATGACCTGAGGCAGGCACAAACACTAGACTCTTGGCCACATGGTCCAAGTTTGGCCTAAAGTGTCAATCCCTTCCACAGTGTTCAATTAAATATACAATTTTTTAAACATCAATTGTGACACAAAGTTTAGAAAGACCCACTTCTTTCCCTTTTGGAGCTTAAGGTATGTAAAAGCAAAAACATATAAAAAATAGAAATAACAGACAATCTTACATGATCAATTCATAAGAGAGGTGCAGAACAAAGTACCACATCAAGGCTAAGGAGAAAAGCATTTTTTCCCCCAATCTTCATAGCACAGGAGGACATTGAAGGCAGAGACAGAAAAGTCTAGGGTATATCCAGGGGACAAAAAGGATCCAGTCTGGCTGAAGCAGAGCCATAACCAGGCTGCAATTTTGCCTGAAGGCAGGAAAATTGCCTGTGGGTCATGGACTTAAAGGGCTGTTCCTCCTTATTATAGTCTTCTAAAGAGGCAGGAGAGGAGCAGAATCTGGTGGTGGGCAGTGGTGAGAGTGGAGATGGGAGCCCACAAGGGAAGAATGATTGTACCATTGTGTTCCTTGGAGATTCTCTGACCTAACTGAGGTTGGCTATGATCCACTGTGGGGGCATCATGAGCATATTCAAAACAATGTGGACCAATCAGTAAGGAATGTCAGAGCCTACTTCAAGGATCTTGAGCCTTGTAGAGGACAGGGGCTGGGCCCTGTGAGGTCTCTACCACCTCAGCAGGGTCTTCCCCAGGGAAAAGATGATGAGGAATGGGAACAGTTCAAGCAGGGCAAGGCAGCTGGGAGGGAAAGAAAGCCAAGTCTCCCAACTCCAAAACCATTATTCCCCTTGAACCTTTTGGCCTCCCAGCTTCTTAAATTTGTCCTGGTTGTGGAAAGGAGAGGATAAGGCTGTTTATTGGGGAAAAGCATATGCATTTGGAAGGATTGGAGGATCACCCTCCCAGGGACAAATGCTCTGAGGTGCTGGTAGTCTTGTACACCTAAAGAAGGCCAAATTTCAACAAGTCAACTGAAAAGACTGAACTAGAAGTCAGGAAAACTGTATTCCAGGAAGTGATATGACACTAATTCTAGAAGATGGAGGAGTGAAAGCAGTGATTTGCTTGAGCTCTCCCCCAAAACCCTCCAAATACCTGTGAAAAAATGGCTCTAAACAAATGCCAGAGCAGCAGAACCCACAAAAAGACAGAGTGAAACAAATTTCCAGCCCAAGACAACCTGGATGGTTGATTGGAAAGGTCTATTGCACCAGGCTGGGAGAGGAACACAGGTCAGTGTGGATGCGCAGGCAAAGACCAGGCCTCAGCAAACCTGGAGCAGGCCTCAGAGAACTGAATCACAGGCAGCTATGGTGGTTTCCAGACTTCTTAACCAACAAACGCCAAAGACAACTTAGAAGGTCAGTAGGAAAGGTCTGTGACCGTGGTGAGAGAGAAGCTCGGTTGCAGCCCCAGTCCCAGCACGGCCCCGGGGCGGCAGCTGCTTCTGGAGCTCTAGGCTCACAGACAGAATGGGAATCAAGTGGCTGATCAGAGGGGGATTGCAGGGATCTCTTTGCTGGTGCTGAGGCAGGATTCTCTTGCTTTGCCCTTGCTTGAATCTAGGTCACAGTTCTGGGTGGCAGTCCTGGGGCCAGGAGGTGTGCTGGCATGGTGGAGCTTGTAGTAGAGGTGGAGAGGGAATCCTCCTCACAGTTCCAAGGCAGAAAAGAGTGCTTGTGGTCACTCATAGACCAGAGTACAGGCCAGGAAAGGAGTAAACACCTCGCCCTTGATCATACCACCTTCGAAGAACTGAAAATTTATAGGTCCCTAGAAGTATCTCTGAAAACAGATGCACAAAACCCCCAAAGCTTAGGACAGTACATTCTCCACACTGGAAGCAGACCCCCACCTTAACAAAGAGTTTAAAACTTAAGTGATTGGCTGGGAATATGAGCAAACAGAAAAAAAAAGTCAGATCATAGAATCTTTCTCTGGTGACAAAGAAGATCAAAACATAGAACCAGAAGAAGACAACAAAGTCAAAGCTCCTACATCCAACGCCTCCAAGAAAAATATGAATCAGTCCCAGGCCATGGAAGAGCTCAAAAGGGATTTTGAGAAGCAAGTAAGAGAAGTAGAGAAAAAACTGGGAAGACATTAACTCTAAGCCTCTGTTTCCTTTTCCGTAAAATGAAGAAAATGAGAAAAGCAATATCCACAATGACTATAACAATGTAAACTAAAAGAACAGTAAAATTAAATGGAACTACGGTGGCCAAACCTGGAGTCAGAAGAAATGAGGAAATTTACCTCTCTCTTTTTGTTGGAGAGGTGGGGGATAATGGGTGTAGAATGTGGCATATATTGTTGGATTGGTTCAATTGGTCTGTTGATAACTTTTTTTCCTTCTTTGTTATAAAAGAAGGTTCTCTGTGGAGAGTAGGGAAGGGGTATACTTGGAAATGACTGTGAAGTAAAAACAAAAGGTATCAAGAAACCTCAAAACATTTTTTTTAATGAAGGGGAGATGCATATATACCAAAATATTAGTAGCAGAGCTTTCACAGTAGCAAAGAAATGGAAATAAAGTAGACACCCATCAAGTGATGATTAGCTCAACAAGTTGTGGTACATGAACGTAATAGAACATTATTGGGCTTGTCAGGATCCCCATACCAAAACCACCCCTCTCTTTTTAATATTAAGAGACACTCTGTTTTCCAGAGCTAAGATACAGCAAGACCTTATGCCTTGAGCTTGACATAACAACAATCCTTTGCACTCACCCTCTGGATGATCTCAGCTACAGCAAAAGCCAAGAATTATTTCACACCAGCAGCAGGTGGTCCCTGAGCTTGGATCTGCAATACTTGTGTTCTGATCATGAAGTTCTGTTAGGAATCAAACTGATCTCGTTGTTGTTACCCGTCACTGTCAGGACTACAGCTCACTGTGTAGCCACTGCTATAAGTTTTGAGATCTGCCCACACTAAAGTGGGTCTCCTACTATAGAGGGCCCCAACACACATCTAGTTTCCCTCCTCCAATGGAATAAAGAAAACTTTTTGCTTAAGACCATTGTTAGCTCTTTGGTTTGGTTGTGTTTTGTTTTGTTTTGTTTTTAGAGTTAACTGTGGTTTTGAGAACCTGTGTGAGCTCTCTGGTTCTTTCAGAGTTATCAGTGGTTGCATGACCTCTGTAACACTTTGGTCATTTGTTCTCAGGGTTGACAGGTTATAAGAAATAACAACAATGAAGAATTCAGAGAAGCCACAGAAGACTTATGTTAACTGATGCAGAACAAAGCAAACAGAACCAGGAAAACAATCTACACAATTATAATAATGTAAATGGTAAGAACAAAAGTGAACCCTGTAGAATTAAAATGACCATATCTATCCCTGGAGAAGAACTGAAAAAATACATCTCCCTTCTTGATAACAGTGAGAACACTGTGGCTGTAGAATATTGTATGTGCAATTTGATAGGACTTAGTTAATGTATTAACTAGTTTACTAAACTCCTTTTTTTATTATTTTTAATAAAAGATGACTTGCTGGGGTGGGGGAGAAGGGGACAAAGAGCAGGTATAGTCAGAAATCATGTGACATAAAAACAGAAGAGATCAATAAAATTAAAAATCTTAAAGTGCTATTAAAAATGGAGTTGGACAAAGAAATGTCTCTAAGAAATAATCACAGATCCCTTTTGCAATCTGGTGAAACCTATGTAACCCATAATGTTAAATGTATAAAATAAAATACATAAGACTGAAAAGGAAACCAGTTACACTGACACAAAGTTATCAAAATGTGTTGTTGTTTTTTAATGTTGACTTCCCAGGTTAAGAATACCTACTTTCAGGTCACTTTTAGCTCAAACACTATGTGAGTCTCTGACATTTGGGTTTCATTTGACTCTGCCTTGGCCCAGCATCAATTTCAGTAACAGCTGAATCCACCTTCCTCAATGATCTAGGTAGGACATGTCATTTCCCCCTTTGAGGGCCTCCTTCCAGCTCTAACATGATACTTTGAGCATTTGGGGGGAGGGGGTAGCTTCAAGGCCTCTTTCAGCCCCCTCCCCAAAAGTATGTTTGCTATAAGAGTTCCCGTTATTGTATGCCCCCACTGTCAGTAATTAGGTTGATTGAATGCCAAGTGTGAAGAAACAACTGACCTTAGCACCTAGTTACCAAGAATAATTACGATAAAAAGGAAGCTATCAAATGGCCCCATAAGGGAAGGAGGGGAACCATGCAGCCTACCCAGAAGCCTCCTCATGGTACTCTGGTATCTCTGACATTCCCACCCCCTCTCCAACACTAACAGAGTTTTTAGTGCTGCTTGCCCTAGAATGATTTGCAGGATTTAACTCCATGTACAAAAAGTCCTAGTCACAGTTGAGAGAAGAGGACTAAATAATCAGAGAAGAGTGGAGTGGAGTGGATGGAATTCTGGATGTGGGGTCAGAAGGACCTGAGTCTGAATCCTGCCTCAGACACTTACTAGTTGTATGACCCTGGGCAAGTCATGTAATGAATCTCAGCCTCGGTTTCCTCTTCTTTAAAAGGGGGATAATACTAG